CAGGCACAGTGGCTCATGCCTGTAATCTCAACACTTTGGGAGGCCGAGGTGGGCGGATCACCAAGGTGGCCTGGCCAACATAGTGAAACCCCATCTCTAATAAAATTACAAAAATTAGCCGGGTGCTGAAGTCCCAGTTACTCCAGAAACTGAGGCAGAAGAATCACTTGAACCTGGGAAGAGGTTGCAGTGAGCCGAGATTGTGCTACTGCACTCCAACCTGGGTGACATGTAATTGACTATAGTCACCCTCTTGGGCTATCAATCTTGTACTGTTTTTATATTCTTCCTTGCAACCTTCCCAGAAGCAATGGATTTCTGAGGATCAGAGAGGGAAATAGGCTTGCCTGGGGTCACACAGCAAGTTTGGGCAGAGCTGGGATAGATTTCCTGGCCAGTGAGCTCTGCTTATTTCCTAACCTTGAGGCGGCTGCATGTCTGCGTAGATCTGATCCTAGTGGTACTCCAGAGCTCTGAGCACCTCTGTCTCTCCCCTGCTGTTCATCTTCTTTCAGGGTCCTCCTGGAAACCCAGGAATTCCAGGCCTCCCAGGAGCCGATGGCCCCCCGGTAAGAACCACGAGCTGGGAAAAGTAGGAAGGAGAAGGGGGAAGCTTGGGAATTGGAATGGCAAGTTTTGGTCTCTGATAACTTAGAATGTTTCTTCCCCAGGGTCACCCAGGACATGAGGGCCCCACGGGAGAGAAAGGGTCCCAGGTGAGTCACCAGGAGGTTAGGCTGGGTTGGGGACGAGGGTCGGGAGGCAGGGCCTGGAGTCAGGAGCCACAGAGGAGAGAGATGAGGACTCTTAGAATGTGGAAAGGACTGTCTGGAATGGCACTGACCTTATCTTCCTCCCAGGGTCCACCAGGGTCGGCAGGCCCCGCGGGCTATCCTGGACCTCGGGGAGTGAAGGTAGGTGATACTGGGGCCTTGCGGGTAGGAGTGATTTACCAGCTTTGGGTTCAGGGATGCGACGCAGCTCCATTGGAAACTTCTGAATGTGTGGAGAGGGGAATCAGCTGGTCAGGCCAGATGTCGTGGGACTGTGGTTTGGAGCTGCACAGCCAAGGACAGCCTTACAGTATGGTTGTCACCTTGTCACCTTGTTGTTGAAAACAGCTAAACCCATTAGAGGCCGAACACATTTATTTCTTTTTTCTTTTTCTTTTTTCTTTTTTTTTGAGACAGAGTCTCGCTTTGTCACCCAGGCTGGAGTGTAGTGGAGTGATCTCGGTTCACTGCAACCTCTGCCTCCTCCCTGATTCAGGCGATTCTCCTGCGTCAGCTTCCCGGGTAGCTGGGACTACAGGCATGCACCACCAGGCCCGGGTAATTTTTGTATTTTTAGTAGAGACAGGGTTTCACCATGTTGGCCAGGTTGGTCTCGAACTCCTGACCTCAGGTGATCCACCCTCTTTGGCTTCTCAAAGTGGCTGGGATTACAGGCGTGAGCCACTGCGCCTGGCCCAAGGGTTGTGTTAACTCAAACTCAGAATCACATAATCTATATGCACAGTAATGCTGGCTTAAGCCAAGAGCTGCACCTTGGCTAAATAGAGGTGCAGGGGCGTTACAGTTCATGTCCATATGGAAGCTGAGTCCAGTGACATTGTAACCAAATACAGATGTAATTTACCTGAACATGTGTGCATTAGACAAGCTTAGACACACTATAATCAAGGAATTGGCTATACTGTAGCAGGCACAGAGTTTGGCAAGCATCACCCTCAGAGTTACATTGTAGCCAAGCATAGTTACATTTTTTATCTTTTTTTGTTTTTGTTTTTGTTTTTGAGACCTGGTTCTGCTCTTGTTGCCCAGGCTGGAGTGTAGTGACACCATCTGGGCTCACCGCAACCTCTGCCTCCCGGGTTCAAATGATTCTCCTGTCTCAGCCTCTCCAG